GTGCCTGCCCATGGAATGGTCATCCCGGTCTGCAACTGCTTCGGAAGCTGTTGACCATGCTGACGGTTGTGGGGAGGAGTAGGTCCCTGCACTGGGTGACCTGTGTTAGAGAAGAAAGTCCTGGGGGATAGAAAGGAGCCTCATTGGATGGACTGGTGAAAAACTCACAGAGAAGCCAAAATGGAGAAAGTGGCTCTGAGGCTCCATTGTCTTTGCTGCTGGTGGTCTGGGACCTGAGACCCCGCTGTGATTTTAGGATGAAGTCAGCCCAATTCACAGGGCTCCATATGTTAGTGCTTTTGCCAATGGTCCTGAAAAAAAAAAAAAGGAGCTGTGAATTCAACAAGATGAAGAGAGAGCCTTACCTCTCAAATGCCCCATCTCTCTGCCACGTAAAGCACCCGTGCCGAAATCTCAGCTCAGCTGATAAATCACCTTCCCTACCTCCATGACCGTGCACCACTCTACCCCTGCTATTCTCATTACATGGAGATGGAGAATAAGTGAGAAAGCACCAGGAGGTTTCATCCTGGGCAAGGAAAGGAAAGGTGGGCAGTAGCGCAGAGAAGTGGCTGTGACCTTGAAAGTAACGAGAGACCATGACGTTTCCTGCTTCCAGGCTTACATGAGCCTTTCCAGCAGGATGTGTGTATTGGTTATATTTTTAGGTGCTTCTGGATATTCTGTATATTTCTGTGTATTGTAAGATGTTCTGGCATCTTAAAAACCTTTCTGGCTGGGGAGAGACTGCACCTCCTGAAGCTACAGGGTCCAGGCCAAAGCGTGCTTTTTATATGCAAACTAACCAATCCAGAGCCCCACCTCCTCTCTGGTTGGTGCACCCCAGGAGGCAATATGCCTCTGCTTGATCACACCAGCACCAGGTCCTGGGCAATTAGGGACTACCCCTAAAGCTAAGGAACCTACCGGAAATTATTCAAACAGTCAATCCTAAACTGTTTACCCCACCCTGCCTTGCCTTTCCCCTGGAACTCCCAATAAAGAGTCCAACCCTAGCTTCCCCTGCTCCTTCTTTCTGCCTCCTTACCACCCTGCATCTTCCCCACATGGTCCCGCATGTTCTGCCTGCACCTGTGAGTATAAAAACCTTAGTTTTCCCAAATCTCTCCTGTGTCGGGCCCCACCTGGATGATCATCGCATAGAAGAACACAGAACAGCATGAAATGTTTTAAATGTTCTCTGAACTATTGAGAAATATCCCGAGATTCAGTGACAAGGGATACAAAAGTGGCTTTTCTTTTAATAGGAGGATTTCTTGACTATCCTTTTCACTTTATTGGACACAGAAACAGGCACTGTGCTTGGCCCTGGGGGGATACAAGGATGGAGATGTTGTAGGAGAAGGTTGTCTGGGAAAAGGGATCCTTGTTTAGATCCTTGTTTTAGTCACTATGTACTTTTACTTTTTTAACCAGTTGTATTGACAGAATGTCCAAGTTGAGAGGCTGTATGTATGAATTTCCAGGAAAAAGTCAAGCATTTTGAGGAAGTTCCTTGAAGAAACAATTTCTCAAGCTAAAGTTTTCAGAGCTGATGGTGCTTCGCTAGTAAAACTGGGTGCAGAATAAAGTGCTTTTAAAATGCTGTGTTCTCATTGGACATAAAGCTTAAGAAATTTCAGATTTTTCATTACAGATCATTTCTTTAGATTTTACTCTACTCCTGTAGAAAATACTCAACTTATTAAAGAAAAAAATAATTATTGTTCTCATCTCTACACAATAATTTTTTTCACTTTATATTATACATTCTGATTAATGTTTGCACAGTTAAAAAGAGAGAGAAGAAAAAAAAAAAAAAAGCAGGAATTGCCAAGCCTATTATACAGAAAAATATTAGCAAAGACACCCTTGATCATTGAGTCCCTAGTAGTGTCAAAGGCATCTATTATTGATCTTGTAATTTTTAGAACATGTAATACATACTGAGTATGAGATTGTTTTCTTATTACGTGATTCATGAAAATGACTCTTATTGCTTTATGGTCCCCTTGCATACATAAAGAGTAAGGAAATAAGTCTTCTCTCACGCCATCTCCGAGGAAAGTGCTTTGTGAACTGCATGGGTTGGGTGGGGTGCACATTGCTGCTTTAGCCAAACTCATGTTGCAAAGAACACAGGATGTGTGTGCCATCTGGATAGGGAGATGGTGCACAGCCTGGCTAAACAACTCCTTCATTTAATTCTTTCCTTTTCATCTGTCTGTAACACAATAAAGGAAATTAAAATCAGTGATCGATTGTGTTGGAGTGCATTATCATCAGGACTGAATACGTAAGCAGCACACCCAAATGAGAAGCTGTTTAATCACATTTTTTTTTTCCATCTATCTAACTCGGTGTATCAGTTATTTATTTAACAGTTATTTTATTCAAAAAAGGAAAAGAAATTCATTTATTCCATTTGAGTGTTTCTCCTGTGTTAATACGTTCTATTTTCCTTGATGAATTTATTCTTAGGAAAATATACAAAAATTTTTATTTATTAAGGGAAAATCATTAGCATTTAACCCTTTGATGGCACTACTATTTCAGTTTTCCCCTTTAACTATTTGTTATTAGTTTATTTATTTTAGTTCATAAAGGTTGTGGGTATAAATTCTGACATTTCAACAGGAAAATTAATTTTCTTCATTAGAAATGGCATAGGGGTGCTAGTCCTTTTATCGAATCAGATTATTTTAGTACATTAGATTTCATTGGGGAATTAGTTTGATACTCCTAAAATGGGGGGGGGAGGAGTGATCCAAAACCCTCTAATGATCACATTTCCTTCCAAGATAAGCTTATGCTCTAGAATAATTGGCTGACGTATTGCCTATTGTTTGGTTAATTACTCATGTGCTCACAAAGACATTCCGTATTTCTAAATGGGTTATGGTACCAACAGTGACTAAAATGAGCTGGTGTTATACAGTGGTTGAACTTACAAAATGCAAGGTGAATCTTTACGAAAATTTGAGATTGTTTTAAAAAAATGTTCTTCTCTCCCCCCCCTTTTAAAGTATTCGATAATTGAAACAATATGCATTTACTTAATTAACAAGTATATATAGTGATCAATTTTAGGGAAGGGAGCACCCCAGCTTCAGTGTTTGCAGTCTCTTTAAGGTGGATTGTGGTTGTCCATGGTAGGTAGTTTTATACTGAGGAAGCAGCATTTCCCAGAATCCACAAAACTGTCAGGTTTCCAACCATCTACCTAATCGCCTTGTCTAAAAAGAAGGTCCTGTGATAAGAAGCAGCATTGTGGATTTGGGTAAGGACTCAAGTATGTTACACTATCCTGAGTCATAGCAGAGACTGTTATAAATGTTACATTTTTAAAATAATGTTTTCTAATTGGTTACTGTTGTTTTATAACAACTTCATTGATTTTTTTTACTTTGATTTTATATATAAAAATTTTGTTGGGGGATGCCTAGGTGGCTCATTCGGTTGGGCGTCTGCTTTCAGCTCAGCTCATGATCCTGGGGTCCTGGAATCGAGTCCCACATCGGGCTCCTTGCTCAGTGGGGAGCCTTCTTCTCCCTCTACCTGTCGCTCCCCCTGCTTGTGCTCTCTCTCTCTCTCTCTCCGACCAATAAATAAAATCTTAAAAACAAAAACTTTGTTGATTTGAATAGTGTTAATTACAGATTTTCTTTGGGGAATTTTAACATTTCCAAACAATAATAATTTGTGTCTTTTTCTGTTTTTATGACATTTCTTTGTCCTGTCTTACTGCACTGGCCAGGATCTCCAGAACAGTGATAAACACAGGCAGTGTCATCAGATGGCTCTTTCCTTTTCCTAGCTATTATAGAAAATATTATGTTTCAACATTAACCATGATAGCTTTGACGGTTTTGTTCGAGATAAACATATCAGGTTAAAAAAGTTGTCTTCTAGGGCGCCTGGGTGGCTCAGTTGGTTAAGCGACTGCCTTCGGCTCAGGTCATGATCCTGGAGTCCCGGGATCGAGTCCCGCATCGGGCTCCCTGCTCAGCAGGGAGTCTGCTTCTTCCTCTGACCCTCCCCCCTCTCATGTGCTCTCTCTCTCCTCTCATCCTCTCTCTCAAATAAATAAATAAAAAATCTTTAAAAAAAAAAAAGTTGTCTTCTATTCCTACTTTGGTATGAAGCTTTTTAATATACATGGATATTGGATTTCTCCTATATTTCTTCTTGCATCTTCTGAGATGATCCTATGGTTTCCCTCCTTCAATCTGTTAATGTGGTAAATGACATTAAAAGTCTTTCTATTGTTGAAGTATTCCTGTATTACTGGATACAAGCAATGCCATTATTCTGTATTACAGAATATCCACACACACATGCACACATGCGTTTGCAAGCATACACACCCGTCAACTTAGTTTTCTCACATTTTCAGGAGCATTTTGCATGTATACTCTTGAGGAAGTTGGCATAGCATCTCTGTGTCATCTGCCTAGGGGAAAAGGGACTGAAAACCACACAGCTAGAGAGGGCAGAGACTCTCTTTCTGCTCCCAGTGTCTGAAGCTTTCTCCAGGGGTAGCTGCAGGCGTAGACATGGGCAGTGGCAACCATTCCGGAAGTACTCACAACATTGCTTTCAGCCGCTTCAGCGCTGCGGAGTCCCCCACAGAGGAGGCTACAGGGGCAGCAATGGGGATAATTCAGGAAGTAATCACAATATTCGCTGCAGCTGGAGCTGCTGCTGTGCGAGTCCTCATGGTGGCAGTACCAAGGACAGCAGTAATGGCCCGTCCCCAGAAGTGTAACTTTCCTAGGCTCCTGCTTCAGAAGCTGGACTTGGACATCTGAAGCCTTGAGGCACCTGCCACTGACCTCGGGACGACATTATCACTCTTCCAACTTAGAAGCAGCAGAGATTTCTTGTCATTATGAATTTTTGAACAACCCGACCTTTTCATCTTTTGCTCCAGATACCCTTGTATCTTGATTTCTCTATGAAATGTGATAAATATGACTCATTTGTTAGCCTGCACAGTGTTTAAATTTTTATTTAATTGCAACTGTCGAAAGATTGGGAGAGATCACATAAAGATCCAGTTTTCAGCCTTCTCTTGACAGTCTTCAAGAGCAGTCAGTGCTGATCCAGCTCCCTGCAAGGCAACAATTGGATGATGCTGAGTAATGGCCGCCCTTTAAATAAGACTGTCCTCCCCAGTTCACCAACTTCCCCGTCCAGACTGCTTGCATATCATACCTCCCGCTGGTCCTGCACACATTTATATTTGCCACACCACTGTAAACGTTCAACAAGCATAGCGGAGTTCCAGGAATATTACTTATTTTCTTCACTCACAAAGCAAGATGTATTTTATAAGTTACATAAATTACATAAATTGGTTTAAACTTGAGTTGTAACATTTAGAGCCACCTGTAGCTATTAAATGACAAGTAGTTAGACTAATCACACCAATGTCATTTTAAAATTAACTGGTAACAGCAGGGTTTTTGTTGTAGTCATTGGTGTTTTCTGTTTTGTTTTATTTGCTCTTTGTTTTAAGCTTTAAGTAAAAAATGACATAATTTGTGCCAGGTTCTCAACTCTTTCTGGCTTTGGATTTTTTTTCCTTCCATGTCTATGAATCCTTTGAAGTCAACCAGGGCTGACTGCAAGAGGACTCTTTGTGCAATCCAATCAGGCTAATGTCAATTTTAAGTGCAGGAGACAGGCATGCTTTTCATCGTCTCCTTTGTGTAGCTATGATGGATTGGCTAGTGTTGAGTTAGTAAGATTTCCAGGAAAGGACAGTACAAATGCTGTCCTAAGCAGCCTGTTAATAAATAGACCTCAAGTCTTAAAATCTTCCACTTGCTATTTTATTTTAAGAGTGGAGTAAAGGTTCACTAAAGCACAGAATACATTTCACTTTGCAGTTTCATCTGAAAAGCTACCAGTATTTACATTCCTACATGATTCTAATAAGAAGTGCAAGTAAGGAATCCCTGTCTAAAATAATTTACAGATTTGTAAGAGCAAGAACTGCTAAGAGAAAGGAGAGTTTCATGTTAATTTAAATATACTGTCTAACCATATTCTTTTTTTCCTTACTTATTTAAAAATATTTTCTAGAAATCTCTTTTTCAGGGATTATTAGTAGAATACAATGAGATAAGCTCTTAGGTAATGAATTAAAATTATATTTAAATTATTATTGTGTGTGTGTTTGTGTGTGTGTTGTTAAGTGTAAAAAAATCAAATCATAATTCGACAAGAAGCATGAGCTACATTAAACTTAGGGAGTAGTTAAAGTGTTTCCTAATGATTTTCTTTACTTTTTATTGCTTGAATTATTCCAAAGGAAAGAGCAAAACAAAAGTATAAAATAATGAACAACAAAAAAAAGGAAAACAAAAATCAATCATGTAACCAAATTCAACATCAATTTTCAATTAAAATCAAGAGAATTTAAAAAAAAAAACAAACTGTACTAATCAAAATAATACCTACCTTTTACTGCACAATCACCAGGGGTCTGGGGGCAGTTCTAATGGCTTCATGTTAATTTACTCATATAATCCTCATAATACTTCTATGTTAAATACCTTTATTCTGATTTTCACTTTACAGAAAAGGAAATGAAGTAATCTGTTTCTCAACTCCATGGAGCTAATCCCTGGTAGAGCAGGATCTGGGCCCAGGCAATAGGAGTCTGGAGGTTTTACCAGAACACATTGCTGGCTCTCTTTTGCCACACATATATGTTCACATGTTTATTCACAATCACACTTTGCTAATGCTTTCTCCATTAGACATGGACATTAAACACATCTTTAGGGATCTCAGGGTACATTAATTCTATCTAATTCTATCCGAATCTGTTTCTCACCCTCCCCCTCAAGTCAACTTCAGTTTGACTGAAGTACTCTAGGAACTTTGAGGCCAGAAGGAGGAGTATGGTGAAGCTCGGGGAGGGGAGGAGCAGTTAGATAAGACTTCATAGAGCAGTGGACATTTAGTAAAGTCACAGGATATAAAATCAATGTACAGAAATCTGTTGCATTTCTATACATTCATATTGACACAGCACAAAGAGAAATTAAGAAGACAATCCCATTTACAACTGCACCAAAAATAATAAAATATCTAAGAATAAACTTAACCAAAGAGGTGAAAGACCTATATTCTGAACACTATAAAACATTGATGGAAGAAATTGAAGGCAACACAAAGAGATGGAAAGACATTCCATGCTCATGGGTTGAAAGAACAAATATGGTTAAAATGTCCATACTACTCAAAGCAATCTATAGATTTAACACAATCCCTATCAAAATACCAAAAGCATTTTTCACAGAACTAGAACAAACAATCCTAAAATTTGTATGGAACCACAAAACATCCCAAATAGCCAAAGCAATCTTGAGAAAGATAAACCAAATGGGGGTATCATAATTCAGACTTCAACTTATATTACAAAGCTGTAGTCATCAAGGCAGTATGGTACTGGCACAAAACAGACACATGGGTCAATGGAGCAGAATAGAAAACCAGAATAAGCCCACAATTATATGGTCAATTAATTTTCAACAAAGGAGGAAAGAATATACAGTGGGAAAAAGTCAGTCTCTAACAAATGGTGTTGGGAAAACTGGACAGCTACATGCAAAAGAATGAGACGGGACCACTTTCTTATACCATACACAAAAATAAACCCCAAATGAGGAAAAGACCTAAGTGTGAAACCTAAAACCATAAAAATCCTAGAAGAGAACACAGGCAGTAATGTCTCTGACATTGGCCATAGCACCATTTTTTCTAGATACATCTCCTGAGGCAAGGGGAATAAAAGCAAAAATAAAGGATTGGGACTACATCAAAATAAAAAGCTTCTGCACAGAGAAGGAAACAATCAACAAAACTAAAAGGCAACCTACTGAATGGGAGAAGATATTTGCAAATGATATTTCTGATAAAGGGTTAGTATACAAAATATATAAAAAAAACTGATATTACTTAACACCCAAAAGCAAATAATCCAATTAAAAATGGGCAGAAGACATGAATTAACATTTTTCCAAAGAAGACATCCAGATCGCCAACACACACATGAGAAGATGCTCAACATCACTCATTATCAGGGAAATACAAATCAAAACCACAATGAGATATCACCTCACACCAATTAGAATGGCTAAAATCAAAAATACAAGAAACAACAAGTGTTGGTAATGATGTGGAGAAAAGGAATCTTTGCACTGTTGGTGGAAATGCAAACTGGTGCAGCCACTGTGGAAAACAGTATGGATTTTCCTTAAAAAGTTAAAAATAGAACTACTCTGTGATCTAGGAATTGCGCTACTGGGTATTTACCCCAAATACAAAAACACTAATTCAAAGGGATGCCTACACCCCTAACGTTTGTTGCAGCATTATTTACAATAGCCAAATTATGGTAGCAGCCCAAGTGTCCACTGAAAGCTGAAAGGATAAAAGAGATTATATATATATACATACACACCAGAATATTATTCAACTATAAAAAGAAATGAAATCTTGCTATTTGCAACAGCATGGACGAATCTAGATAGTATAATGCTAACGAATTAGAGAAAGACAGATACCATATGATTTCACTCATATGTGGAATTTAAGAAACAAAATAAATGAACAAAGGAAAAAAAGAGTGAGAGAAACAAATCAAGAAGCAGACTGTTAACTATCGAGAACAAACTGATGGTTACCAGAAGGGAGGTGGGTGGGAGGATGCGTTAAATAGGTGATGGGGATGAAGGAGGGCACTTGTAAGGAGCACTGAGTGATGTATGGAAATGTTCAATCACTATATTGTACACTTGAAACTAATAGAACACTGTACTTTATACTGGAATTAAAATAAAAAAATTAATTAAAAAAATCAGTAGGTTAAAAAAGATTTCCTGGTAGGTGGGAGCTGCTCCTTGGCACCATATTACTGCCGATTTCTCAAACTAGAGCAATCTACCCAAAGTCTTTCAAATAATTACTGCTCTAGTCTTAAAAAAAAAAAATGTACTGAAGTCCATGGCACCAGGATGTAATACCACCTTTCTGCCCATTTCTCTGTGATCTTCTGTCTCTGGGTCACTCTTCAACATTTAGGAAGAACTTTAGTGCTTGGTTCATGGATTTTTTGTTGTTGTTGTTGTTCTTATTCCAATTCCTGTCATTTTCAGGGAGGCAGAGTTCTTTGATCACTTGATGTCTAACTATTATCAACCTTTTTCTCCCTCCCTTCCATGATTGTGATCTGGACCTTTATATCAGCCAGCATTCCTTCATCTTTGGAATGGCCTAGGCCACTTTCTATATCTAGCGTTCCATAGAAATTGATCTTGCTAAGGACACTCTCTAGTCTTCTTCTGACTGAAATATTGGCCTCTCTTTCTCACTTTATGGTGCCACCATGTCCCTCCTTTCTGAAAGTCTCCTCCTTGGTCTCTCTGATTTTTATTTGTTGAGGATAGTAGAGTCTTGTTTCCTATATAGACTCCAGAAGACGGTGCAGGGGTTTCATAATGCAGTCACTAATAGAAATTGTACAACAGAGGATAAATACCTAATAAAACTGCCAACAGGAAAATGGCTTAGGATGGTGACTTTGTAAAGCATGTATTATGGAAGTAACAACTGGTGAGTTTTCAGGGTCCTGCTGCAGTTAGACTACACCAAAAAATTTTATTCAAATATATGTTTATTTTGGCTTAATAGTCAACTGAACATGAAAAAATAATTGGATTATCTACATCAAGTCATTAAAATCTGTCCTTATGCACCCAGCTGAAACAATTCTACTGATAAAACAAGTTTTTATGTGTGCTTCTCTTTAAAGACACTTTATCTAATATAAATTGTTGAATCGGTAACTTTCAATTCAGCCAAGAGCACTATAACTTACACCTGAACCAAGCTTGTCTAACACATGTATTTTCTCCATAGGGCACATCACAGCCTTCTGGTGCTTAGGGACACTAGATAGCACTTCAGCACTATGCTTGGGGGCCATTTCAAACAGCAAAAGCCCCAGCAAGAAGCACAAACGAGCAACAAATATGGCACTAAAATAAACTATGAAAAGGACACTTTATAGTTCAAGAACTGACACGAGAGAGCAAA